AGGGAGGCAAGGGAAGGGCAAGAAGGGAGGGAGGGAGAGGAGGAGGAAGGAAGTTCAAGAAGAAAGGGAAGGAAGGGAGGAGTGGGGATGGAAAGACAGAGGGAGAAACCACATGGCTATAATCAAAGAGGGGGGAAGGAGATAGAGAAAGGGCAACGTCAAGGTTGAAATGTACCCCTTGCCCCAGTCTACAGACAGGCCCACGAAAACCCGGCAAAGCAAGTAGGAAGCAGAGGCTGTCTGTCACAGAGAAGGGAAAGACACCACTGGTCCTTTTGCTCTGGAGCACTAGGGATGTAAAGTGGGGCTGAGCAGGCCAGCGGCCAGAGCTGGAGGCTTGGCCCTGGCACTCGCCCCGGGTCTGGAGAGGACAGTAAAGGGGCCTCAGTGACTCCTTTGCAGCTGCCCCACCCAGTCCTCCAGGACAGAAAGGCAGTCGGGAAGTGAGAGTCCCGGACAAACAGTGCGCAAGAGCTTGACACTTCCTCTGTGTTGTCACCAGGGCTGTAGACTGAGATGCCCCAACCTGAAGCCAATGTGAACTCAGGAGCAGCTCCATGGTGCCACCGAAACAAACATCTGAGTTGGGGCTGAGGATAAGCTGAAGGCAGCTTTGCAAAGTTTTAAAAACTTAACCAGGCCACTAAAATTCAACTTGGCCAAAAATTCACCATGACCTCACTCCTTTTTATGAGCAGCTGTCCTGATACTAATCCTGCCTCTTTCCATAATCCCCTTTGCATAAGACCGAAAGAACAGGGCATGAGCCTAAAGCAAATACACTCTCCGAGAGCCATGTGCTTCTTGCGACTGCAACTGCAATTCGATAGCGCGCCGGTCCAACGTCTCGGCTGCCGAGACGCGAGCCCGGCGGTGCCTCCGCGTCCACAGCCCGGCCCCTGGCACAGCGCCTGGCACAAGCAGGCGCTCAGAGCATGTTTGCCGGGGGCCCCTCAGCATGCTGCAAATGTGGGACTAAGAGAACAAGTTGGGTCTGTAAAATTATGTCCCTTCGGATGAAAGCTAGAGAAAAAAATCTACTTGGAATTCCACTAGATAGGTACGGACTGGCCATTTGAAAAACCAGAATAACTGAATGCTAGGTTTTATGAGGCCGTGCCTCCTGTTCCTCTATCCCCCTATAAGGAAGGGCACACAAAAGGCACCTACTGAATGGTTCATTCGATTCATACCCTCAGGACTGAAAGGAACCTTCTCCGTAAGGAAGCTGCCTCCCCAGGGCCTCAAGCTTGACAAAAGCCAAGTGGACATAATGTCCAACCTCTGGACATTATGAGAAAAACCCTGCTCCGCAGAGCATTTTGGTTTGCGTGTTAGGACTTGCTCAGCAAACACTCGAGTGCCAGCTCTGTGCCGGCCATGGGCAGGGCTCTGGCAGCAGCGTGGCAGACACAGCCCACCCTGCCCAGGTCTCACGGGCACTCGCAGCCTCACCGTCCTCCATCTGCTGGTCCAAGGGCACCGGCGAATCGGCCCGTGGACAGGGCTCTCCAACAAAGCCGCTTCACGATAGAGTGCAATAGCTGAAGCTGGGGACATACCTGCCTTCCCTGAGGACAACAGCAGTTGTCACAGATACAACGAGAAAGGGAAGGAGATCGGAGTTAGGGGGAGCAGCCGGCGCTTGCAGTTGAGAGGCCTGGGTTCCACTCCTAACGGGGCTCCCCTCCTCTAGTAATTGTCTGGTCGACCAGGGGAGCGTGGGCCAAAGTCTGCGGGCAGCAGTGTGGACACAGGCAAGCTCCAAGTGCAGCAGTGTGGACATAGGCAAGCTCCAAGTGCAGCAGTGCGGCCAGCGAGCCCGGCACACTCAGAGCCACTCCTTCCAGCTGTAACGTTCCCCGGCACTAACTGCACTCTCCACGGAAACCTTTCCCGTGGACAGAGGCACAGAAATGACCCCAAGAGTCGTATTTCTACCTTGCCTGAAATGCTGCGGCTTCTCACACCCCTGTCTGCCCCAAATATTGGAATGTTCTGGGTGGCTGAGCAATTGAATTCAGAGAGAAAGTGAGTTGATACCAGGAGCCTTGCTGGGCCACCGGCAACGGAAGCTTCCTAGAAAGGCCACATGTGGGGCAGGAACTGCTATTGGCCCTGGAATGTGGAGCCTGGAAGAAGACAGAGGGTCTGGACACCAGGCCAAGGTCCTTCGCAGGCCGTCCGTCACCCTGCGCAGTGTGCCGAAACAGTGAGCATCTCCTGGGCCGTGTTCTGCCTGCCCCGTGGGGACATCAAGGCACGGCCGGGATGGAGGCACGGAATCCCAGGCCTCCCCCAACTTGAGTGGTTCCCACAGCCCCCGAGGGGCCTGCCGGGCGTGCCCCAAGGAATCATGCAGACATGCTCAGTGCTGGGGACAGGCCGGCCCAGCCATGCCCTGCAGGTTTGGGACAGCATCATGTGATTTTCAAGGACCACAGTGGCTGGCTGAGGCCTTGGGTCCCTGCTAAGAGACAGGGTGGGGTGGGTAGTGAGGAGGCAGTGGGAGGTTTTCCTGATTATTTGACAAACATGGACCCAGCCCTGAGCTCCAGTCCCGGCTCTGACAACATCAGATCGCAGTAAATCTCAGGCCCATTTGCTCCCCTCTCCCCGTTCCCAAGCTGTCTTCCCTTATCTGGCTCTGATAATGCGGGGCTCATCGTGTGCCCTTTGGTCTGCAGGCTGAGGAGTCCAAGAAGCTCTTGGGAGCAAATGACTCCTTCAAGGCTGAAAAGAGCCACCTTGCCCAGATGTGCACACTCCCTCCACCGCGGCTCACAAAGCGCTTCCGGTCTTCCCGCGACCGCTGTCAGCACGCGGCGCGGGGCTCGGGGGCCAGGATTCCACCCCTGGATTCTTGTCTTCATGGACACGTCGTCAGCCCCCACCGGGATTCCAGCACAGGGAGCTGAACTCTGTCCTGTGTCCTCTGTTCCACGTGGCTCCTTGGCACCCCCTGAGAACCCTTGTCAAGGCCCTAGGATCAAACTCCCTACCTCAGGGTGCTCACTTTGTCCTCCCTGTTCTAAAAAGAGAGAGAGAGAGAGACTAAGGGACTGAGTGGCATTTATTCCTCCCACATAAGGACCTTGGACCAACCGAAGGAAGAGCAGGATTTGCTGATCAAGCTGCTAACACTCCTCTCTGTCTCCGTCTTACCTGGCCTCCCATCCCAGTTAGGAGGCTCCCAGGGCCACCCCCAGGGCCACCCCCCCCAACATCTGGCTCACCCACACCTGCCCCAGCGCCTTTGTTTACAAGTTACCTCCTTGAAGACTTTGCTGAAGCCTAGGCCACCGTCGGGGAGGCAGCAGAATGTGGAACTGTTTGATGTCCTGACAGCCCCCGGCAACGTGAGAATGACCGGCAGGCTCAGTATGTTTCCGAGGTCAAACATCAACCGTGGAATTTGCAAATGGGTAAATACTGTGCAGTGCGCAGGGAGCAAAGAATCTGCTCAAGAACAGCTGCTCGGTAAGTGTCAGACAGGACCTTAGTTACGCAGCAACGCGGGCGGGCTGACAAAACACATTCCGGCCTTTCATAACCCTACCCTGGCAGGGACACTAATCGAGACAGCTCTCCTGTCCTGCAGAAGTCTGTATGCAGAGGAGGTAAGTGAGAAGAGGTTGTGGCTGTGGAACTTCACAGAAAGCCAGTTTCCTCTTAGAGATGGAAGTTAAGTGCAGAGCAACCTGAGACGCCCCAGGTCTCTCCAGCTGGGACAGGCAGATGAGGCCACATCAGGAGCACGTGCCACTCCACAGCTGCCTGCTCAGGATGCACTTCAGGTCCCAGCGGGGGCTCCAGGCCTATTTCTGGGAGCTCCGGGGGTGTCTGTCTGTTTCTTGTGAACAAAACTCATCCTGCCAAGCACCCACCGGGCTCTACCAGACCTAGCTGTTTCTTGTCCACCCCAGGGCAGCGGGACGGGTGTGCTGATGTGTTGTGAAACCAAGTAGATCTCTCCCCACCTGGCGTTTGCCCCAGCACCTTCCAGGACTGCAGTGAAAGAGACATTGGAGAGTCTGACTCGCTGGTCCCCGCACCCATAGCGCCCAGCAAGGTCTGGACAGGAGACAAACCTAAACATGTGACACCACAGGTCACTCAGGATCCTCCTCCTCCCCCAGTGACCAAGGTTTCATTACTGGGTGCAGTTGATCTTGCCCAACTGCCTCTTCCTGGACAATTCATGTAATTATGGCTGGTCAAGTCTCCATGTGGGCCAGACCTATAAATCCTGGTCTGGGCTCGAGCAGAGTTCCCCATTTCAAAACAAATTTAGACTTTTTCTTTCTTAAACTTGTTTCTTAAAAGTTCAGGTGATGCTTCTGGACTGCAGTTACAGAGCATGGACAATTTCCATTGCGACATCAGGTGTTAATGATGTCCTGGGCCCATGCTTGTGTTGTTATAATATGCTGAGAATTCATTTAATTCAAATAATGTCTATAAAAACAATCATTTTAATTTGGAGAGTACATACTTTTGTAAAAACTATTAAGTGTCTAGAAATTTTTTTAAAAAACAACAACTGTGCAACCTTTGGTACATTAACACAATGCTCCACCCTCAAAGAGGCGGGAAGAACAACCCCAAATTCCTACAAACTCTAACCCTCAGTGAGACTCTGTAAGCCACACCTTCCCAAATGCACCCCGGCCATAAATACCCACAAAAAGAAAGAAGAGATAAAAATTCTCGTTGGAGGAATTTATCACCTGCCTTCATGTCTATAAACGTTCCATGGATACAAAATACAATCCCTGAAAACCACCTATATTTTTTCAAAAAAAATCACTTGGGCTAAGGGTTTGGAACTCAGAAATGGGTTCCCAGTGCGTGTAGTTGTCTCAACACAATGCGCAGGAACAAGAGATGAGTTCTCCAAAGCCGCTCCTGCAAGTGTCTGCAAACACTTGCACAAGACTCTGGATGGAGAAAATGCATTGTAGGGCAAATTCAGCTTTTTCAAATGGCACTCATATCAATCGGTACATCGTGTGTTCCACTTCTCCGTGAGGGAAGCCAGGTGGGTATTAACTGCCTCACAAATACACACACAGAAACTCAGGTAAGGTCAGCCCTCCTCACTAGATAAACCCCAGACATGAGACTGGCTGGGCCAGCTTGTCATAACCGGATCACTCTTGCATCCAAAGACAAAGTTGGTATGCTTGGAGATTGGGGAGATTTCAGCATAGTCTGCTTTGGGGCCAACTCAGAGCATGGGTGGACCAATTCTTGCTGTCCTTGACAAATAACAGCTGGGGTCCAGCCAAGAACTTCTCCCCCACCAGCTCTGCTCCACAGGCAAACTTTAAAGTACAGGGGGAAAGAAGCCTCCATTTCTCAGCAGGGTACAGTCTGGCCCCCACTGTGCCTTTGTAAGTCCCCTAAGGGAAAAACATCTCAATACTAGGTTCAGGTGCCAAGTGGAGCAGCCAGGTGGGATCACTCAGAACCGTGCTGTGCTGGTTATTAAGCTAATTTTCTCTTGGCTTCAAAATCCATTCTCTACTTGGAGATGCTGGGGCTGGGACTCTGCAAACCGCATTCCTGCGTTAGGCCGTGATAATCTCTGCCCATAGGGGGCGCCAGCGGGAACCCACAAGGCTGGAAGAGGAAGAAGGAACTAACTGGCTCCTTGTTTGCTTCCTGTTTGCATGCTGCCCACCTTCTAGAGGCTTCCTATGCCTGTCAGGAAGGCTGCTGGCGTCCCTTAGCAGCCCTTTGTGTTCACCCAGGCAGTGGCACTTCCTTCCAGAAGAATTTGAGTCCAGTGTTTGGTTTTTCTAACACTCACAGAAGCAGCCTCATGGGTGTCTCCACAGAGACACCAGCCAAACAGCTCCCCTCAGAGGTGGGACACTGACCTTGGAGCTCAGCGAGACCAGCCCAACTGCGCATCATCCCCCGCACTGCCCCCTGCCAGAGTCTGAGATTCGGCCCCCAGGTGCCCTCTCCTAGCCTCTAACTTTTAATGAGTCCAATTTCTTCCCCGTCTCCCAGCCTCAGGGATGACAACTGCTCCCTGCAGATGCTGCCTCCACTGATCCCTTTGTATTTTCTTTCTGCCTCTTTAGTCTCCTGGTTAATAATTCTTTATATTAAGTTATCTCCAGTAAAACAACTGGTGTGATTTCTGTCTCCTGCCTGGACTGGAAGATTCACCCACAGTTAACGTCCTAAGCATCTACGGCTCAGACTAGCGCCGGGGACTGCCCAACCCCAGCAGACCACGCTCTGGAGGGCGTGCAGCCCCGGCTGCATCCTGATCTGCTTTTTCTCAGCCAACCTGTGTGTGGAGGAGCAGGGGGGAGCAGGGAGGAGCAGGGAGGAGCAAGTTCAAATTTAAAGGACATAGCAAAATCTGTGGCAAATGAAGCTTATTTGCTGTACAGTCTTGGGGGATGGCTGCAGGGACCCCTTGCTAGACATGTGAATGTTTCTCCTTGCTGGTCAGTAGCAAGCTGTACGGAAGCACCCTCATCATAGGCTTGCGGGCGAAGATGATCTTGTTATAGTTTGCAGTGGGACACTCTCTGGACTCTGTGTGCACGCGTGTGGGTTCTGGGATCATGGCGGGCCCCATGGCCGACGCAGAGTAAGCACCCCACAGCGACAGGGCGCTGTCTGACAGCGGGTCCCGGTACACGGCACCGGAGGACGCAGACGACTTTCTCCTCTTCTGCTGAAAGATGCTGGAAGGCTTGTTCTGCCTCCGGCGGTTTTCCTCGAGAGACAGTGTACATTCCAGTTCCCTCATTTTGCTTTTCTCAATGAGCCTTTTCACTGTCGGGGAGGTATAGGTGACATAGGCCGGCCAGGGGTCGTGCTTTTCTAGCAGATTCGGGGGAAGTCCAATGTTTTCTGTGAATCCCACTAGCAAAGAGAAACGAAGACCATTTAGAAGCACTCACATGCGATAATTCAATTCTTCAGAGAGAAGGAGGGTGTTGGAACCACACTTTGAAGTCTACCCCATTATGGACCCCTTGTATTCAGTGGGAATAAAATCCACTCCAAAGCAGGGGGACAGAATGGCATTCTATATATCAAGAATATCTCAAGTCAAGAACAGCAAAATGGTAAGCAGCAGGAGACTTGGAGTCAAGCAGGTGTGGTTTCAAATATTTGCAAAACCTCAAATTGTTTTACCCCTGAACTTCTACTTTTTTCACCAATAAAAATGGTTACTCTAAGGCTATTATAAGGACTAAATAAAGTAATATATTTTAAGGGCTTGGAACCGTACAGCTTAGAGCTTGGAAGCATGCTCTCTGCACCTGACTGCTCCAAATTCCTACTCTACCCACTCGTAGCTGTGAACCTTTAGCAGGCTTCCTAACCCTTCTAAACTTCAGATGCCTCATCTGTAAAATGATAATTAGAAGACCATGCTTGTAGAACTGTCTTGTGGATTAAAGATAATTCATTTAATACTTTTAGCATGGTGCGTGACACAGTAATCAGGAAAAGGTAACTATTAACCTTTCGGCTATGCTCTATTTCATTTCAAGACCTTATAAGATAGGAATTATCCCCAATTAACAGAGGATGAAACTGAGGCTGACTAGCTTGCATAACTAATAAGTGGTGGATTCCAACTCAAGCTTAATAGGCTCAAAAAAAAAAAAAAAACTCTTAATCTTTTCACAGCTGCTGGCCAGACCTTTTGGGTGCTTGGGGAGAGAAGCTTTACTAGATATTCAACTCAGTTTACCAAGCAGCCTGTTCCTGATTTGCAGATACCAAATCATGGGTGGGTCAATCCTACCCTTCTTTCATTTGCAACTTCACTCTACCTAACAGAAATGCTGCAAAATGTCTCTCCTGCAGCTGCTACTTTCCTCTGTGTCCCCAGGTGGTGCAACCTTCCCCTAATTCTGTATTTCTTTGGTAATTTCAATAGGAGTTTGTGAGGGAGGGAAGTTAAAAGATTCATCCCACGATCTCCAAATTGAATTCAGTAAAAAATGCTGGAAACAGGGATAATCAAGAGAAGATGCAGATTATACAGTTATTCTCTGATGTCCAGGAGCCAGAGCTTGTCTGGGTCAGGCCTGTCAGTAAAGCATGTGCCATGGAAGGCTTCCCCCGCCCCGAAGAGTCACGTGTGCCCCTGCCTTCAAGATGTACGACAAAACCTCTCGCTAGGAAATTCCCAGCAAGGCTTCCAAACGCAGACTTGACTGATCATCCTAGTCTCCTCAAAGCAAATGCAAAATGCAAAACTATCACGGGTTAGGACATTTGCATGGATCTGGTGGAGGGGAAGCTAAAACTGCCTGGAGCAAAACTGAGGGAGGGGGAGTCTTCCATCTCCTGACCACGCTATATTCTGCGGGCACCAGCGTGACTGTCCGCAGAGCCCTGCGTTCTCCCAAAACCCGCACAATCCTCCAACTTTAACCACAACCACTGCAGGAGCTTCCGTTGTTAATGCCTCCAAACCTACCTTCTTCTGTGTTCATCATCTTCTCAGCAGCCTTGTCTTTCATTTTTATAGATTTCCTGACATCAAAGGTCCACATTCCTTTTGGAAAATAATACTTGTTAGCCAGAGAGTCCTCAAAGGGACCTGAGAAGAAAGTGATTAGCAGCCACCCTGGGGTCCTAAGTCCTACAGTGTCTGCAGGAGGCTCAGAGGACTCCAGCCCCAGGGAAGAGAATACTCCTTCCAGGAGCTGGAGAGAGGCCAGGTGAGCCCCTCAAAGGCCTGCAGCACAGCCTGGCTCAATGGAGAACCCCAGACTAGGGGTTCATGCCTGTGATCCTAGCACTCTGGGAGGTCGAGGCAGGAGAATCCCTTGAGGTCAGGAGTTCAAGACCAGCCTGAGCAAGAGCGAGATCCCGTCTCTACCAAAAATGGAAAACATTAGCGAGATGTGGTCATGCTCTCCTATAGTCCCAGCTATTCAGGAGGCTGAGGCAGAAGGATCACTTGAGCCCAGGAGTTTGAGGCTGCAGTGAGCTATGATATGCCCAGGCAACAAAGCGAGACTCTGTCTCAAAGTAGGAAAAGAAAAAAAAAAACAACACTAAAAAAAGCCCTCAGACTATCATGGCAGTCTCTAGAGGTGTTCTCCTGTCTGGTCTCTTCCCTTTAAAGCAGTGAGCACTGGGCAGGCCTGGAGGCTGAGTGGAGGTGAAGAAAGAAATGTCCCCATTTCAAAACCATGCCGTCTTCTCTACTAGAGTGCAAGTGTGGTCCCGTCACTGCAAGTGAGGCCAGTTCCCGCCTTCCAACCTGCCCTTGTCAGCCTGGAATGAGGGAAGAAGGTGGCAGAGATGGGCAGCTGCCGGGACTCAGCTGCCGGGGCCCCAAGCCCAGGCTGACCCGGGGAAGTCTCTGTGTGGCCCTGCAGTGGGAACCCTGGAGCCGTGGTCCTCAAACCTGAGGCTGCGTCTACCTGGGGGCTTGTTAAGACCCAGATTGCTGGGCCCACCTACACAGTTGCTGACTCAGCAAACACTGTCCTAAACCAAAAAGGGAAAGGAAAAACATTGGAGATTTGTAAGGTTGTGATTAACTACACAGAGACAGGAAATGGGTCCAGGAGATCTTTGCAATTCCTCCCCAGTTCTAAGATACATGCTTTTACCCAAGAATTCATTATTTTACATGTTCAGTGGACTCGTTCCTGTGTGAAACACTCCCCTGAGATACACGGTCCCCAGGTTTTCCACCCATCTTTTCTCCTAATCAAGGAGCTATTGTGAAACTCAAGTGCGCGTGTCATTGACGGGGCAACCTTAAATTCCACAATTTTTATAAAGCAGTCACAAATTTTGGCTTTTTATTATAACACACCCAACAAAGGACCAGCATCCTGGAGATTCACTGACATTCATTTTTTTAAAAAGGCTATTTTTTGTCAAACTTATTTAGAGACAGGTCTTATGGAGCCCGTTATAGATCTTAGTGGCAATCTTCCACAGCAAGGCGTTTCTAGAATTCACAATATCATTTTTGTGAGGCAAGGGAGGAAATAATGCTCAAATAGTTGTCTAACCTAGAAAGAATTTCATGTAATAATTTTTTCTTTAATTGGAAGTGAAAGTATCTTATTTCTCCTTCTAAGACCTACCATAGGGTCTCAGAATTTAAGGTCATCCCCTCCAAGTGCCCCATAACCTAGAGCATGACATTCAAGTGGCCACCCAGCCTGCATCTGTCTCCCTGCAATGGAAGGACTCTGGACTTGCCTTCCACATGTGTGGCACTGCTAGGAATTTGTACTTCTCTCCATATGTAAAACAGGACTAATTAATCATGCTAGATGGTGGAAACATGTTTTGAGCTGGCAACATTTGGGGGGTGGGATTTGGAATCATTCTTTTCAGTGCTGCCTCTAAGTTTCTAGTTAATGAAGCCTCAGGGAGGTGCAGTTCTTAGTGACTCATTTGTTTCATCACCTGTGTGCATTTGCAGAACTGGCCACCTCACTCAGAGCCTCTTGCCATGACTGATCGACCAGGACAGCAGCCCTGTGTGGCCAATGGTGGGTCTTTCTCACACCTGCTAATGCAGGGACTAGGAAATTATTTTTTTAAAAAAAAAAGGAGGGCATGTTTGAGACTGCCTCAAAACTCACGGGAGGCCTTGTTCGTTTGAAAAGAACGGGAGACAAATAGTTGACATTAAGTCTGAAGACAAGCTGTGGGCTTCTATAATTTCTCTCAATTCCAAGACAAAGGTTCCATTTTGTCTCCCTATAAATGAAATGCAAACCAGCAGTCTACAGACAGACATAGCATTGACGGGAGGGGCAGGGGGCATAACATTGAAGTGGCTTTCTTGTTTCTCCTACAGACACAAAGCCCATGTTCAATGCACTGGGCTTCCAAGGCCAGCTCCCCTCAGCCCCCACCCAATCTGTCAGCTCACCATTTCCAGAACCTAGTTTGGTAGACTGGGTTTGGCCTAGATAATTCAATTACCTGGAACCTGACACAACATTGTGCCTTTAATCGTGTTCCTTAGCTTCTTAGGACCTCAGTTATCACTTCCAGAAGGAGGATGAGAATGAATTCCTGCCCTGCCTCTCTCAGAGAGACACAGTTGTTTTAATAAAATGTCTGGAAATTAAAGTGCTTCTCAACCAGTGGCCCCCAAACTTTGCTGCACGTTGGAATTACTGGAGATCTTTAAGAAATACCAATGCACGCCACCACTCCCAACGTTGTGATTTGATCAGAACAAGCACAGGCATTAATATCAAAAGCTTCCCAGGTGATAATGTGCAGCAAAGTTTGAGAACCACTTTCCTAGAATCTAAACCAAAAACACTGAAAATTTATAAGGTGTTATTATCAACTACTTAGAGACAGGAAATGGGTCCTGAAGATCTTTTCAGTCCCTTTGCAGTGCTTTCCTTCAAGAATTCCTGATTATACAGTCAGTACTGCGTCTCAGGGGCCTTTGAAAACGCTAAAAGGGCCATGGAGCATTTCCACAACCACCACCTGCCAACACAAAAACTGACTTAGAACAAATGAGCAGGAGAACCAGGGGCATAAAGCAGGGAGCTAAGGAAACTATGGCTGTGGACACGATTCTCATGCAAAGCTAATGATCTCATCCTCTGTGGCCACAAGCTGCATCCTTATCTCAGGAAACCATCTTACAAAAGGATTTCATGGGTTCCAGGCAGGACTGATGGATTAGTGCATTGGCGCAAACCAACCCCACTCAGACTCTTTGCCCTACTAATGCTGTGGAAATATTGTCATCTGTATAGTCATGATGGGCAGATTATTATCTTAATCTTGTGTTTCCTAAACTGTGTCCCACAGAATGCAAGACCATCTCAAGATGTTAATAGGTATCACTTAAAGAAAAAAAAAAAAAAAGCACAGCAAGGCCCACCACATACAGCCATACAGATTGTTTAACCCTGGAGTTGCCACTCACATAATCTAAATTGTTATGCAAGATTGCAGGCCTGTCCTCAGTCAAGTTTGAAAAAAAAAAAAATGCTGCGTTACACATATTCCTTTAGAACAGGATTTCTCAGAGCCTGTTATAGGTCACATTGTTCTGTAAGTCTCCAAAAGAGAGACTGAATATGCAGCAGCCTCTAATCTCATTTGACCAGGAAATCAATCATTCGTTCACGCACTCATTCATTGGGTGGGGTATCTCATAGAACTAGAAACCAATGGGATATTTGCATGGATTCTGAAACAATGTCGTTCTCCTGTCCCGTTTGGAATTGCAAGCCTCAGAGAATGTTCTGCCATGAGGACAGGGCAGACTTGCCCAGGGTATAACTGGATCTTCAGTGACTCACCTGCTCTGAAATCAGGCTCAGTGGCCCACGAAAGTGTTTACTCTGACCTATTTTCCCTCTATTCAGCCTCACTCCTCTCCTCTCTGCTCCACCCGGCAGGCTCTATGTCCGTTTGGCTCACACCTCTCGCTTTCCTCCCTAAGCCGTCCCAAAGCTCTTGCCCGGCCCCAGAGGAGGAACTGTATTTTCTCAAACAGGAACCTGATGCAAAGTCTCATCTCACCTCTGCATTTCCTCCCCTTCAACCTTCCATTTTCTCCCCCCACCCCGCCTCCTTTTTTTGTTTTTGTGTTTTCTTCCTGTCCTCTGGCTACTCCTCAGTTATTTTTGGCTAAAGAGGAAGCTGCCACTAAGGCCAGGGAGTCCTGGAAAGCTTATCTCCGAGATGGGAGAGACATGCCAGGGGAGGAGGAACTCCGGCAGGAGCCTCACATGTGGGTCTCCATCCCCAGGGGCACCAAGCACTCATCGTGCATGCGCGGACTTCCCCTGTTTCAAACTGGGGGGGCCCAGAGCACAGACGGCCGACTCCCGTGACCCCTGTTTCTGGTGGCTTCCCTGCTCCTTTACCCGGACCTGTGGGCACCTCGGAAGCTTTCACAGAGCTCCAGCCCCCGCTCCACCTAATGGGCTGTAGGTGGGGCAGGCAAGGTAATGGTTTGATGGCCCTTGGGGACACTGCTGGGGAGCTCTGGAAGTCCAGGAGCCTTTAGGGTGGGGGGAAAGGAGAGTGGGAAGGAGCAAGTCAGTCTTTGGGGAAAGAAGAGGCATTCTCTCCCCTTCTCCCTGTTCAACACCGTGCTGGCCCCCACCTCTCCCTCCCCTAACACACATCCTCAAAGGGGAGGAGAAACAAGCCCATTACTACACTCTCTTACTACACTCTTAAAATCCAAATTCCAAAAAATTAAAAAATTATATTAAATTAAATAAAGTTTTAAATAGACAAAATTATAAATTCAGGTTGCATATGGTGGGTGGGTCACTTTGGTAGCTGTCAGTATGTTCTTACTGGGACCATGCCTCTTTCTGGGGGAGGAGCTATCTCTAACACATCTGGGGTGGGGAGGTGGGTGTCTAATCAGAATTGCCCACCTTCCAGCACAGATGTGGGCATTATTGGTTCACCACCTCTGGTGAGTAGGAGGGGTATACTGCTTCTTGATAATGTTTCTGTACTCTACATATTTTCTGTAAGTATTATCTGTGCACTTTGAGGGTGCTTTATTTTCCAACACTG